ATAGGAAATGTCTATCTAAAATGAAGATTGATATCTTGGTGGACTGTCTGGGTTTGGCTGTTTCCTTGTCTTCCTCTCCAGAATCAAGCCTAGATGAACTAGGTGGTCCCAGAGACAGAGGAAAGTGTAGGTGGCAGAAGTAATATAGGATAGACAAGTGTTTGTGACAGAGAAAACAAGAGTCTTAAAAGCCTTTTTAATCCCAAACAAACTAACTCCATCCAATGAGCCTTATAACATCTTCATAGACCTGAATTGTCAAGGGGAGTCTGTAGGTAGCTTCCACAGCCAGGATTCCATGTTGTGTCTGTAGTCCACTTCTTTGGGGCTATGGCACAGAGCCTTAATTAATTTCCTACCATTGCCCTGTCCAGGCATGCATTTTGAGTATGTCTTTAATTAAAGTGATTATACTTTCTTATTTTTTAAATAAAAACATCTTAAGTAAAACAAACCAAAAATCTCATTTCTGTGGTGGTAGTTAAGATTGTGTCAACTTGGCTGGACCATGGTTTTGAGTGGCATGACAGCTGGATATAGTTATTCCCCAGAATAGGATTGGATGTGGAATCTGCTACAAGCAGCTAATTAGTTGCCTTTGGGGTGTGGCTTGCTTCCAGTGTGTATGGAGAAGCTTTGAGAAAGCTTTTTGGCACATTTGGATCCTGCATTTGGCTGCATCTTCATCTCCAGTTCCTCAACTTGAACCAGTGGCCTGCTGTGTTGCCTGGCAATCTTAGGATTCTTCCTGGACTTGAATCAGTGGTGTGCCATGTTGCCTGCTGATCGTGGGATTGTGCCATTTTACCTGTTGATCTTGGGTTCATCAACTTCATCATCCAGCAACTGCATGAGTCAGAAGACATCTCTAGCTTGCTCCAGTGGGCCTGGAAGAGGTAGAGCTGAAGCCCAAGGTCGAGAGGCCTTCACTTGCTGCCTAGAGCCAGCACTCTGAATTCAGACTTATAGCCCCCTAAACTGTAGGAGAATAAATTCCTGTTTTTTCAAGCCAACACTAGAGAACTAAGGCAACTGTCAAGTCAGTTCTGACTCATGGAATCCCCACGTACTACAGGTTAAAGACTTGTTCAGATTTGGCATACAGACTGGTTACTACCTTACCGTGTCTTGATCTAGATGCTTTTGAAAATAAGACACTTGATGGAGAGCAGTTAATCCATTTCTTTGCACCGTCTCCTGGGAGTGCTGCAGTGTGGGGTGTGAGAGCTTACCTGACAGTGGATGGGCAGGACCAGCCCAGGTCTCTGCACACTTCATCCTCTAGCAACAAGTATCCCCAGAAATTGTGCAAGTGTATCTCCTCTCCTGGCTGCTGCAGGGCGGATGTCGTTGTGGTTACCTTGAGAATCTACTACATTCTGTAAAAGATATAATTGGGGTCACAAATCCTCCTCAGTGGCTTTCACATGTTGCCTTGGCATTTCCCCCCTACCCCACAATGCTCTGTACAAAGGGGCTGCCAACCCCCATCGCTGATATTTTTCTTAGCTACAAGACTGGAAGGCCCCCAAGTCAGCTGCAGCTCACTTCCTGGAGACTGAGGTGGGGCTATCCTATCTTTAAGCATTTCACTCCAGAATCTGGCCATCAGCATAATCAAGGAACTGGTTCCCAAGATCCAAGTATCTGGAGGTGGACTCTGCCCCCTCCTCCACTATACAAGGTATCCTTCTGTATCTAGCCATCCTCCTTATCACCCTCCTGCTTGTATTCTTTGGCCAGCAGGACCATTTGGCACTTCTCTTGCAGAGTGAGCAGAGACAAAGCAAAATAGAAAACTGCTATCTGAAATGAAGATTGCTATATTGGTAGCCTGTCTGGGCTTGGGCTTGGCTGTTTCCTTATCCTTGTGATTTATGTGAGTTAATGGATACCACATACACACACACACACACACACACACAAACACCCCTATATGATGCCAGGGAGTCATAACCATCATTACAAAGGCTTTTCCTTCCCAAACCTCCCTCATCTTCCATTTGAAAATGCTATATGTACTAGCAGAAGATCTCAATGAGACAGGTACATTGTGTCTACTGCAGCCACTCTGAGAATAGCAAAAAATCACAAACTCCCTACACATCCATCAGTAGGAAAATTAAATGATGAAACTCCACATAAAACACCACGTGAAACACCCATTTAAAAGAATGGGAATCAATGATAATCCAAGGCACAACATTTGGCCTCTATTCACCTGGAGCAACAGAGGAAGTAGGAGAGTCAGAAACAGGAGGAGGAACTATGGGGAGGGAGTGGGAAGGGAGCTATTACACTGTGGGGAATTGCAGTCAATGTCATGAGACAAAATGTGTATGAAGTGCTGTATGGAAAATGAATTTGCTCTGTAAACTCTCACCCAAATCACAATAAAAATTGAAAGAAAAAGAAAAGAAATAGGAGGAAGATATGGAATGTGTTGCCTCCACGAACAACTACCTAATTTTCCATGAGACCAGAAGAACTAGATGGTGCCCAGCTATCATTACTGAACATTTTGATTGAAGATTTTCTGGAAGAATCCTGATCAAAAGGGGGAAAATGCAAAAGAGAATTTCAAATTCTCTTGTACTCTAGCCTTTCTGGAGCCATGGAAGCTGGATGAACCCCTGAAGCTATTGCCCTGAGATAATCTTTAAACTTTGAGCCAAAAAGATCCCCTGAAGTCTTCTTAAAACCAAACAATAGTAGCTTAACTAGTAAAGAATGTCTATCTTGAGCTTTATCCTCTTTCAAGATGGGACCAAACTGACAACAGCAACTTGAAAGATTAGATAGGAAACTTAGAGGCAGTGAGTTTGTTAGTGGGGAAGGAACAACTCAGAAAAGGGTGGTGAGAATAGTTGCACAACTTGAAAAATGTAATCAATGTCACTGAATTGTACATGGAGAAACTGTTGAACTGGCTTATGTTTTACTGTATATTCTCAACAAGAACAACAAAATAACTAAAATCATATATATATATATATATATATATATATATATACACACAACACACACACACACACACACATATGCATATATATATAAAGAATGGGAGTCTGCTGTGCCAACACGAGAAACTTTCCTTTTTCTACTGTGAGGCAAGTTGCAAAACAATATACAAAATACAGAGCACAAGCCTATCTGTAGAAAACATTACATAAGCATTTGTTTGTGCACAGATAATGTCTTAGGAACTCACTCATCTGTAACTGTGGTTTTCTCTGTAACTGTGAGGAAAGTAAGATAGAGACTCTGCCTATATTCATTTTTATGTTGTCTGAAGTTTTCAAGAATCTATTACTCCTGTAATTTAAAAATAAACACTTATAAAAACATTTCTAAATATAAAATATCCCATGTTCTATGTTAGAGAGTAATGCTTTGAGAAAAAGAAGCATTGAAATCAAAGTAATAAAGACATTGATCTGACATTTGAGCTTGTACCCTGGGAAAGGTGTTCCTTTCAACAACCTTAGCTCAGCCCATGTTATGATGCGATACTCAGAGATGGAGGGCACACCATGAAGTCTGGTACATGGGCCTCACCCAGCAGAACTCACAGGTGGGGCAGAGACATGGGACAGATAATGCCAGGTGGCCTGATACTAGAACTAAGCAGCAGCAATGCCAACTGCACCCATCAAGGAATTCAAAAGGGGGAGAGATGAGAGAAGGTCAGGACACTGGGGCTGGAAGTTTTCAGACATAAAGGAAGGAGGCACATGTGTGCTAAGGTGACAAGAAGAACTGTCTGCCCCCAAGCATTCACCTAGGCCACATACATGTTGCTGCTGAACATCCAGAAATGGGGATACAAAGAAGGATGAGGTCCCAATCAGACAGCACTGGAGCTGGCCCCAGGGCTTTCATAAAGGACCTTCCAAACAAAGGGGAACGGTAAGTGCAACGGCCAGAAAACACAGAGGAGCACAGAGTTCAGATATGCAAGCTCTATGAGGCTGTAGCAGCAGGTTCGTGAGAAAGGCAGGGGCAGGAGGCTGGAGGGGCAAGCACCCCAAGGCTCTCTCAGCCCAGTTAGAGTTGAGCTTCCAGCAGAGTGACACTATCAGTTGGCCTTTGCTAGAATAATTTTCACAACAGGAGGACTGGCCAGGAGAGAGATTGGTGTGGAGGTTACTGCAGTGACTCCTAAAGGGTGTGATCACCAGAGGACTGCCAGCCCAAGAGACTTGGGCCACTGGCTTCTCCCAGATGAAAGTCCTGGTGGAAGTGACTGCTCTGTTCTGCCCAAGTTCCAGTGAAGTGGACAGTCTTTAACTCTTCTTTCTCAGCTCTCAGTGTCCATTTTGCAGACAAAAAAAAAAAAAAAAACACCACAGTGATAGCAAGAGACACCCTGCTGAGCACAAAGGAAGTGGGCACTCCTCCTTCCCTGCCCACTCTCAGCCTCACTTCTCAAACCCTTCCTTCGATGATCTCTCTTCATCCTGTCTGTCACTCCCAAAAGAGAGCCATTTCTAAACCATTTCCAAGCCCAAAGTTGCCCTTGTGGCAGTGGTTAAGCTCTAGGCTGCCAACGGAACCCACCAGCTGCTCCGTGGGGCAAAGATGAGGCATTCTGCTTCTGTAAGAAAGGTTACAGCTTTGGAAACTCTACGGGATAGTTCTATTCTGTCCTATAGGGTTGCTATGAGTCAGAATCCACTAGACTGCAATGGGTTGGGTGTTTGTTGATTCCCAAGCCCGTTTCCTCATCTTCAAACCCTCAGTTCTCAACTGTCCCTGCCCGGCCAGCTTGCCTCGATGGCCCCCACTCTTGGCTTCCAGCCCCTTCATCGGGCTCAAAAATGACGACCACGAAAAGGAGGGCGACTCTCTCTGCGGGGTTTCAAGTGACATCACATCCTCCGCGGGCGAAATTGGGCGGCCGGACGGAGGGTGCAACCTCGCTTCCCCGCCCTGCCGGCTCTGGCGCGCCTCCCCTCGGTCTGAGTTTCGCTCTGTGCTGCGCAGCGGAGGAGCGCACCATGGCCTCGCTGGTGACCACCCTGCTCCTGCAGCTGGCCCTTCTGCTCCGTGAGTTTGCGATCCCCTGGGAAGGCGGATAGGCGAGGCTGTCTGGGGCGTGGCGTGGGGCTCCTGGCTCATCTCGCTTCTTGCCACCCGCAGACGCTGGCGCGGCCAAAGAGACGAGTCCGTTCCGGATGTCACCGCAGAAGGTGGTGGGGACCCTGCGCGAGCCCGTGGAGCTGAAGTGCCAGGTGCTGCTGTCCAACGTGGGGTCGGGCTGCTCATGGCTCTTCCAGAGGCCCGACGCCGCTGCCAGCCCCATTTTCCTCATGTACCTCTCTGGCAGCCGGGTCAAGACCGCGGACTGGCTGGACACAAATCAGTTCTCTGGCAGCAGGTCCGGGGACGAGTTCAAGCTCACCCTGAGGAAATTCTCGGAGAAGGACCAAGGATACTATTTCTGCGCAGTAGTGAGCAACTCGGCGCTGTTCTTCAGTCCCTTGGTGCCTGTCTTCCTTCCAGGTGCGGGGCGCCGGGGCGCGCGCGGCACGTTCTGCTGTGAGGGTGGGGTTGGGACGCACGTCTGGACCCGTTGTTCACACTAACGCTCACTTTTGAAACAAGTCTCTTACCATTTCACACACTAGGAAACGGAGGCTAAGATGCAGCTGAATAGGGACTGGAGATGGCTTTTACTGTCTGGACGATTTGGGCGCGAGTTCAGGTGCTTGCGTGGTCCGGGGAAAATAAATGATCTGAGCCTCCGTTTGCTCTGAAGTAAAACGCAGGTATCAACCTGAGCTCACAAGGCTACTGGTTGGGTCCGGGAGAGTGGCTGGGCAGAGGTAGGAGGGTCCTGGGTTCCCGTCGAGGGGGCCTGGGGCACTTAGCCGAGCCCAAGGCACAGGTTGCGGCGGCAGCCTCCGCGAAGGGGTCAGCCGGAATCTGGCGCTGCTGCCACCCTTTTCCACCTTTCCGGTCTCCTGAACGCAGAGTTCGCTCCGGTCGGCGGTGTAGGTCGCAGGCGCCTACCTCGGCAAAGGCGCCCAAGGTGGTAGTGCACGTCGGTAGATCCAGCCTGACCCGCAACCACTCTCCATTGCTCCTGCAGAGAAGCCCACCACGACGCCGGCACCGCGACCACCGACGCAAGCACCCACTAAACCGTCTCAGCCTGGGTCGCTGAGCCCTGAGGCGTGCAGGCCCTCGGCGGACAGCGCAGGTAATGCAAGCGCTGGGTCTCCGGGACACGGCGGGCCAGGGGGCGATGTGGGCTGCCAGGAGACCTCTCTGTCAGAGGCAACCTCACCCTGGAAGTAGAGCTGTCCAAGTAGCGGGGAAGCCGAGACCTGGAGCGGAGAGACGTGCCTGGGGTGGCGGGGCGGGATGGGGGTAAGGGAGCAGGCTCGTTCCTAAATGCCAGCGTGTTCGTGTTGTCAGTGGACACGAGCGGTATAAACTTCAACTGTGATCTCTACATCTGGGCGCCCTTGTTTGGGACCTGTGTGGCCCTACTCCTGTCACTGATCATCACCATCTGCTGCAGCCACAGTAAGTCTTGGAGAATCATAGCGGGCAGGGGTCTGACCCCCTCCTGGCCTTTGAGATGCTTGCCCCAGGCAACCCTTGAGGGGAAATGGGAGTTGCAATTTCTTGAGACTTCCGAGCTGCACCGCTGGGCCACGTACTCTGTTTCTAGGAGAAAGAACACGTGAAAGCCACATCCCGCCACACTTTTCCTCTCTCGGGTGGGGGTGGAGGGCAGAGACCATGCCATCAAGGAGTATGGCAAACGCCCGCCCAGGAAGAAGGCTGGGTCAAAATTACAAGCAAATTGAGACTTGCCCTGGCCTCACTCTCCAAGTTCCTTTCTCCTTGAGTCCCAGATCAGGCTGGCAGATTCTGCACATCACCCATACCTGTATTTGCAATTGACAATAAATAAGGTCTGGGAAGACTGATGGAAAAGAAGCCCTCACCTTGGCTCTTAAGAGTTATAATCCCCAAAGAATTAAGAAAAGGGAAGGAAAACCCTTTGGGGGGGGACTACTAGGGAGAAGGAAAAGTCATTTTTTTTCTTCTTTTTTCTTTTCCAGGGAACCGAAGACGTGTTTGCAAGTGTCCTAGGTGAGTCTTCTAAGCCCGGGTGGGGTCCTAGCTTTCACAGAAGCAGAACCTTTTCCAGAGGGATGCCATTGCAGGATGTCAGGTAGGGCAGGAAGTAGGCACAGTCACTGAACAAAGAGAGGCAGAAGGTTGGCAAGCTGCCCTGGATTTTTGAGGAAATAAAGGCCCTGGTAGGGCTGTTGGAGAGATCAGTGTGACATCAGTAAATCTCCACTTTATTTGGCCTATCACCAAAAAAATTGGTGATCCCACCAACTCACTGTAGCTCCTCAAATACCTGAGGACTTGTTATCTGCATCATACCATGTGGGTTTTATTATTTTCCTAACTTTTTTCTTTTCCCTACTAGGCTAGTCTGGTTTTTGAGGGACAGTCTGAATGAAATAAATCATGGCTTCAGTCTCTAATTTCCCTGTACCAATGCATAGCCTTGATCTGCTGCCAAGGACTGGAGTGGAAGAATGGGAGGCCAGAGGCAGGGGCAATAACCTGTCTAGTAGTAGCTCAAGTGACTACTTCACCCAATTCAAGTCCTGATCATTCTGAAAACACTCTGTAAGGTCTCCTGTCCTTTACCCTGAGGCAGGAGGCAGCCCTGCAATAACCTTCAACCAGCTCCTGCTTGGAGGCCAGCACTGTGGGGCCACACTCAGGACCTCTCTGAATCTTCACAGCAATGTCATGTGGTAGACACTGTGCTCCCGTCTCATAGATCACTGGCTCAGAGATCAGGAAACCTACTCCAGATGGCAGAGGTGTGATTACACTCAGATTATCAATAATAATAATTGTATGAAAGCCTACAGTATAAATCAGTTACTTGTTTTATATATATTTAAATTTCACATTTCATAACAATATTTATGTTGCTACAGTGACCTCCATTTCATGGAGGAGGAAACTGAGGTTTAGAACATTTAGTGACGTGTCCAAGGCCCTACCGCCAGCAAGCAGCAGAGCTGCAACTTCCACCAAAGCCCATGTTCCTTTCTGAGGGCTACAGTAGGGGGTGAGAGAGCCTGAAGGTAACCCAAAAATTGCACCAGTTACTTTCAGTAAGTGTAAATATTTCGAATTTTATATCTCTGGTTTGCATTTCACACTCCTTGAAATTTCTCTGCAGGGTTCATTGTCTTACATGTGATTATTCTTAACCATGGAAATGTAATGACTTTCCAGTGTGTCTGTCATAGATGCTATATGAAGATAAAGTCTCTTTTAAAATACAGAGGATTTTTTTTTAGCATATTCATTACTTGGTGTGCAGATGGGAGAATCTGAAGGAAAATCATCACTTCATCTTTTCAGAAAACTCTCATTTTGAAATGAATAATTGACTGAAAATAGAACCTTACCATGAAACATAAAGCTATGCAGATTAAGCACATCTGAGGAATTCACACACTAGAGTTGTGTGATGATCATGGGCAGTTCAGTCTCAACAAAGAGGTTTCAGAGAATGACATGTGTAGAGGACACTCATAATGAATTAACCTTTCTAAGCAGTCCCTAAGGAGCTCTGGTAGCGTAGTGCCTAAGGCACTTGACTGCTAACCAGAAGGCGAGCGGTTCAAACCCACCAGCCACTCCTCGGAAGTAAGGTTGGACAATCTACTTCCATAGTGATACCACCTCAGAAACCCAAGGAGGGGTCGCTATGAGTCGGGTCTGACTCGACGGCACATGACAACAACAAGAAGCAGTCCCTAGCCCACTGCTAAACTAACACCCATTTTAGTGTAACATCAAGTTTGGGTTATCAGGACAAATACTTCATTGAAGGGGCTTTTGCTACAATGATGGTCTCCCACATCTCTTTCAGGCCCCAGGTCAGACAAGGAGGCAAGCCCAATACCTCAGACAGATATGTCTAACATGGATACGCACCCTGTGTGGCACCTACTACAAGACTTCAAACTGAGATCTCTCCTCACGAGGATAAGAAACATGCCTTCCCTTTTGGTTTTCCAGCCTTCCTTCCTTGTTCATTCTCCCTATTATTATTTAGATGGGGTGGGAAAAGTTACTTTTTAAGAAATGTGTTTATTTTGATTGAAGCAAAACAAAACTATGTCTCCAGTACACCATAAGGGTCACAATACCACGTGAGCATATATTGGGGTAAAGGTCAGAAAGTGGTAGCCATGAGCACTGTGTTTTCAGAATCATGCTGTAAATGCTGGCAGGGACCTTGGCTACCATTCAGTCCAAACCTCTTCCCAGACCATTTTACAACTGAGAAGGCTGAAATCCAGACATGGGGAGCAGCTTGCCCAGAGTCATACAGCAAGTCAGGGTTGGAGCCAGAGCTGGAGGAACCCTTGACTCACAGCTCAAGGCTCCAACCATTGAGGTCTTTCTTCCAGAGGCCTCTGTTGCAGGGCAGGGTGCTTGTGTCTCAAATCACAAGGGAACAAGTATTTCTTGAGCACCTATGATACACTCATTATTTTGCCCACACAGCTTTATAATTGTTGAACAATATCAGACCTTTTATAATCAAGCGTGAAATTATCCAAAAACAGTACAAATTTATAAAATAAAGTGGAAGGGTAAGCTCGTGATGGGAACTGAATCCTGGAAAATGAAGCACTCCATCTCTAAAGAAATCTCTGTGAAATCCCTTGTTGTTAGCTGCTCTTGATTCTGACTCATGGTGACCTCACATGTGCAAAGTAGAACTGCTCCACAACATTTTCAAGGCTGTGATCTTTTGGAAGCAGATTGCCAGACCTATCTTCTGTGGTGCCAGTAACTTGCATTGCAGAGAGACCCAGGAAAAAGAGATCACCCATTTACAAATATGATTTGAGCCTTAGTAAAGCTGAATGGAGGTTCCCGTGAATGTCAAAATGTAAGGTACCCTATTCCAGGATCATCAATGATGCCTTACAGTTGTAAAAACAGAATTGTGGAGCTGCCAGTACAGCCCCTGGTCTCCCGCCAAACAGTGGTACAGACTCTGGGAGAGACTGAGAGTGAAAACTACTGCCCTACGTACGTGTTTCCTCTTTTTTGGTATTGTACAGGGCATCCATGCTCAGTGAGAGAAAAATTTAATTGATAAGGAAATAAGAATTAATTTGAGAACACAGTGCTCATGACTACCACTTTCCGACCTTTACCCCAATATATGCTCACCGTGGTATTGTGAGCCTTATGGTGTACCGGAGACACATTATTTCTTATTCTTTACCTCAGGTATAAGTCATTAATAATATGATGGAATATATTTTTCATGCATATATGTAAAATATATACTTTATCTTTTTTAATAATGGCGTTGAACTATACTTTTATAAGTGGCTTTAATAAATAAACATTTTTAACATCCTTTTTAAAGGGTAAATAGCATTCCATTTTGGATTGGGCCATCATTTACTCAACTAATTCTCTATCACCTGGCACTTCATTGCTTCCAATTTTCACTACTACTAATAACAATGCTAAAAGTTTGCAGACATCTTTCCTTGCTTGGTGGATAAACATCCAGAAGTGAGATTATTGTCAGTCCCACCTGTAGTCTGGACCTCCGATTTTCACATCAATCAAAACTTAGCCTCTTCTTGCATCACTTTCCTTCCTTGTTTTTTTCTTGGTCCTTTCTTGTAATACATCACAAAATATAAGTTCTTGCGCCCTTCCACCATGTATTTACCCTGTGATCACACTCCCCCAAAGTGAGTCAGGTGAGAGGGAAACCTCCATGTACACAGAGGGCTCTGAAAAAAGAACATACTTGGAAGATGGATCAGCACAGATGAGTCACAGACACACAGACACACAGACACACAGACACACATACCATAGCTTCTGGAGCTGGTGAACTGATTTGTCGGCTAAAAGGACTGAACACACTGTATTTCAACCTGGGCCTTCTGGAGGCGGGGATTCAAACTGATAAGGTGGTATTATGTGGGGTGGAGAGGGGAGCATGGAGATTGCTCAGGTCCCTCCAATCACACCCCATAAGCAGCCACTATTCCTGAGAACCCGCCAAATTATGATGGAACCAGCTGTGGAGGCTGGGGGGCCTATGTGGGCACGGATGCTAATCCTGCCAGTGGAGACTGACTGGGTTATGTGGATAATACAGTCAGGAAGCTGTGATCAAAGGGGGTTGTGTTAGTACTTGGGTTCTTGGGCAAAAGAGCAGGCAGGGCTTGTAGGCATTTAGGTAGGGGATACTTTGACAGAACAGAGACGAGAGGAAAAAGTACCCTGTGTGTGGAAAAGCAAGGAACGCTGGTGGTATAATGGTTAAGGCATTTGGCTGCTTTCCAAAAGGTCAGTGGTTTGAACCCACCAACCACTCTTCCGAGCAAAGATGAGGCAGTCTGCTTCTGTAAAGATTTACAGCCCTGGAAATCCAATGGGGGTCACTATGAGTTGGAATTAACTCAATTCTTCACTCTTCTTTGCTCCAGATGAAGGGAGACAAATAGTTGCATCTTAGACAGCTGCTTGAAAGCTTTTAAGATTCTGGTTACTACTCACCAAAATAGGATGTAGAACAAGATTTGTATGTACTACTGTGTTGTGCCAATTGAGCTTGATGTCCCCTGAGACCATCATCCTGAGCCCACAGGCCCAGTGACTCTCTTCCTCAAGATGCGTGGTTGTCACTAAGAAGCTACTCCAAACTTGTCCCCTGTTACTTCTATGATGTAATTTACTTCTATGATATCTTTATAGCACAAATACACATGTAAGAATATCAGCCACAAAATCTATCTATGGTCATGGGTGTATTCCTGTTTACCTACCCACACCTGATCTTCTCACTGGTCTATGCATTTGCCCATAGACTAGTGTTTGTTGTTACTGGTAATGCAACATTGTGTATATAATAGTATTTGCCTCTGTTGTCTATATCTTTTGTGCATGTTTCTGTCCTCTTTTTCCCCATTGTTATTCTTAACTAGTCAGAATTTTTCCCTTCCCTTCCATCTCATCCCTGGTAACCAACAAAGTAAGTCTTCTTTCCTCTGTAAACCTTTCCTTGACTTTTTATAATAATGGAGTTATACATATTTGTTCTTCTGTGATTCACTTATTTCACTCAGCATAATGTCCTCCCAATTCATCCACATTATGAGGTGACTCATGGATTCTTCATAATTCTTTAATGTTGCATAGTATTCCATTGTATGAATGTACTATAGTTTGGCTATCCATTCAACTGTTGATGGGCACTTAGGTTGTTTCCATCTTTTTGTCATAGTGAATTATGCTGCAATGAACATGGTTGCACATATGTCTATTCATGTCCTGTATCTCACCTCTTTAGGATATATTCCTAGTAGTGGAATTGCTGGATCAAACAATATTTCTATTTCTAATTTTTTAAGGAAACATTATACCATTTTCCACAGTGGTTGTACCATTTTATATAGTCCCACCAGCAGTGTATGAGGGCTGCAATCTCTCCACACCCTCACAAGCATTTGTTATTGTCTGCCTTCTTGAACTTTGCTATTATTGCTGGGGTGAGATGATATCTCATTGTTGTTATGATTTGTATCTCTCTAATGGCTAATGATCATGAGCATTTCCTCATGTATTTGCTGTCTGCCTATAAATCCTTTTTTAGTGAAGTGTCTGTTCATGTGCTTTGCCTTTTTGAATTGGATTGTTTGTCTTTTTTTTTTAAATTCATTTATTTATTTATTTTATTGTGATTTGGGTGAAGATTTACACAGCAAATTCACTTTCCATACAGCAGTTCACATAT